GTGTCGTGCGATCGTGTCGTGCAACGTGTGTGCGTGAGCGCGTGTGTGCAACGTGTGTGCGTGAGCGCGTGTGTGCGATGTGTGTGCGTGAGCGCGTGTGTGCGTGAGTGCGTGTGTGCGATGTGTGCGTGAGCGCGTGTGTGCGTGAGTGCGTGTGTGCGACGTGTGTGCGTGCGTATACGCGTGTCGGTGATACATGTTCTTGTGTTGCACGTGGGCGTTGTAAACACGCGCGCGCGCGCTTGTGTGTGAGTGTGTGTGAGTGTGTGCGTGCGTGCGCGTGCGTGCGCCCGTTCATGCGTTCCTTCGTGCGTGTGTGCGCGCGTGTGCCCGTGTGTGTGCGTGTGCATTGCATTTGTCCGTGTGAGAGTGCATGTGGCAATTCGTGTATGTATATTTGTACATTATAAAATTATCTCCGGTGACCATATATATAATATACATCCATGGGTGGTTTTATTCTACGGTTTCATATATGACCGGACGAGTAGATGAGTGCACATATAAATAATAACGATAGGTAACGGTTTATAAGCAACCGGTTTTTGGCGAGCGGGAACATTAACACAACTGACCGGTTGCGGAAACGATTAGACTGGCATGCAGTCTTCGCGTACTAAGATTAATTCTCATGTAATAGCACAATGTAGAGTGTCGGGGAACCCGTCTATAGCGCTGGTATCAACATGGCAACCTCAATCATCGAAGACCTGTTCCACTAATGGTCTACAGCTGGACCACTAATACAGTGTTATAGTCACACTCACAGTCACGCTGGCTGTTTTAATAATAAAATGATTGTAAATAAACAAACCTCTCAATACAACAATACACAATATATACACAATATAAACAATACACAATACCCTCAGAAAGCATCTCGGAGCATTCGTGAGATCAACAATTTTCCCGCGAAACCACTATCGACATCATGCTTTTAAGGGCTAGTTGAAAACCAGAAGGGCTAGTACAAACCTTACCTTACTAGCCCTTTGGGCTAACTTGCATATTGTCCTTATTTCTACCCCTGAAATTTATCCCATCATCAATATTCAACAATGGTGCTAGTATAAGCTAGTAACAATGGAGTAGACAGAACCTTCAGAGAAACCACTGTGGTCCAGTTGTTATAGTGCATCTACTCTTCACTGTGAGTAAAAGTTCCAATCAGTTTAGAGAAATTTTTCAACGTGTAGAAACCTGGCCCTCAACATAGTGAACTTGGAATCCCTCGTAGCACAGATGACACTATTTACCTGGATCATTGGATGCCACTTAATTGTCCCCGTAAAGACAAGTGGCTATATATAGGGGTTAGGAAGCTATAATTAAAGCTTATATAAAACCCTTGTTACGCAGAAACATATCGAGATGGCGTTTCTAAAAGGCTTACTGCTTCAGTGGACCCTACGCCCTTATCAGTCTACGACTCGGTCTAGATCCGGATCTTGGTCACAATTTTTTAACACTCCTCTCTGTCTCTCTTTCTCTCTCTCTCTTCATCGTGTCATTTTAGCTCGGCTCATGTAATTCTTTGCTCCCGCTACAGAAAGGTTCACTACTGTAGCACGTGGGGTGGGAGTGAAGGGTTGTATGGGTAGAGGTATAGTGTACAAGTTCAATTTGTACAAACAGAGATTGAGCCAGATTAGACGTCCGCAAATACTTCTTTAGTCACCGAGTAGATCGGCCTATGGAATAGTCTCAAGCTTTTCTGGAGTGGGGTGGGTGGGGCTGAACTGGACACCCTCCCAAAAATCAATGTAAAGTAAAATTATGTGCGCTTCACGAGCGTGAAGCGCAAAGTCCCTTACGACCAGGGTCCAGGGCCCTGGAAGCTCAGAGGTTCTAGATGCTCTCTGGTGCAATCTGAGCCTTATTTTGGAGCCGGTATACCGGAACGTACCCTGGTAACTATCTAGCTTATATGGTTAGGGTAATTAGTGTTAGGGTTAGGGTTAGAGTTAGGGTTATGGTTGAGATTAGGGAGTAGGCATAGGCAACTCCCTAGACTCGTTAGTGGGGTAGGCGAGGTACGGTCCAGCATATTAGATAGTAGTATTTAGTATGAACTATGAACATGAAGCTGATATATTTAAAAGTCTAAAATGATGAACTATAAAATAAGGAGTTTTCAGCCATGAAAAGTGGCCCCCCCCCCACTTTTTTGACTGGGGGGCTAAAGCCCCCCCCCCCACCGATTCCTACGCCCTTGGAGTCTGACCACAGCTGACCTAGCCCTAGGGCTCGTGTGTCGTGTGTAGGCCTAATGCCAACACACATGCACATCACTACACTATTGCTATTAATATAGTATTATCAGGAGTAAGATAATATAGATCTATATTATCTTACTCCTGGTATTATTATACTTATATTCACTAAAATTTAAAAACTAGTGACGCGTCGGTGCATGAGTGAACCAGGCCTAAAATAAGGATATGAGCGATTTATTAACGATCACGCACACGCACCAGCAAATACGTGAACGTAGTACGTACGTGGGTGCGCGTGTGTCTGCTCAGTCTCATGCACGTACCATATCAAACACACAACTTCACAAGTGAAGTGTCACCTACCCACCTGTTTTGCTTCAGACCATTCTTTCATTTGGTTCGTTGCCCTGTCCCTTCCAGCCATCTTGATCTAGTTTGAGTTCTTGCGAGCAACTTCCAAACACGACAATCCGTCGAGAGAGAAAGCGAGCGAGAGAGTGCGTCGACAACAATCTAGCTCGTCGACAGAGGAGAAACGCGACATCAAAATGTTTACCTTTGACCCCATGCCGCCGCGTGACACCTAGACTGGTACTTGCTCCCAGTACTCTTACTCGAGTTGCTCGAGTAATTGAGGTGGGAGCGAGCAAAGGGAGCGAGTACCAGTCTACCTGACACCTACCACGACGACGTCACAGTTTAACCACGCCCTTGGGTCACGCCTCCATTTAAACAAGTGCACATGTCTTGGTGCATGTGTATGTTTTTTGACATGTTTTGAACGATGTGAAATTCTGCGATTCTGAAATGCTGAAATTTTTGCTGATCGTTAACAAACAAGGACATTTACGACTATCTAAATTCTGGTGTCACGACAAGACAGTGAATAAAACGGTGTTAGCGTCAGACGTAATTAGGAACTGTCTTTGTAGGGATGAAAAGCAGGTATGTTACGTATGTACAGCTGAGCAGATGTAAACCCTTTCGGATTTCCTGCATCGGGAGCGAAGCCGAAGGGCCTAAAAACACTGCCACTGGTGGAGCTAGTACATTATATACAATGTAACCCCAATACAAAATAGGGTAACCATGCACCCAACCCAAACACGTACGGTCCATCCACACAGGTTATTAATGAATCACATTGTATACCATACGTACTCTACACTGAAGTTTAGTGTACTATATTACGGGATGGGGTACCATACATACAACACGCTCACAATAAACTGAATCACCATGGTACAACTACGTATAGCTCTAGTACTATAGCGCTCGATCCTGCGGTGGAGCGGAGGCCTATAGCCTATAGTACTAGAGCTAAACTGCGTAATGCTAAATCTAATGTGTAATGGTGGCTGGTCGCTCTCCGGTGGCTGTGCTTCATCGACCTAGCTGCAGGCTCCAAACTTCAGCATTGATGACAATTTTTTGCCCTTTTAGTTTTAATTACTTTGTGTCGTGACTTAATTGCATGTCTGACTGCTTTCATCTTATAGCATGAAGATTAAATTCATTTCTTGCTTACAGAAAGAGGTGGTGGTTAAAGAATCACCCCACCACTATGGAACTGATTTCTAAAGCAGGCATTGACTGAAGTAAATCGGGATATATATAATAAAGTGTCTTGCATAGTTATGCACCAGTCAATTGAAATCCCGGCCCCTCCGACACCCGCGACAGGGCGGGGAATTAATGCTGCCACAGCCGGCATTTAACACGCATTTAATGACATAGCAGCCCAGGGTGGTCGGGAAATTAACAAGACGTTTTACCAGCGGGGCCATTTAGCCATGATTTAACAATAAACAGCTCACACCGGAAGTGTGGAACTCGGCGTTACAAAGTCTGCAGTAGTTTACCAATTGATACGTTTATTTGAAAAAGGTGTCACATGACAGAAATTCACATAAATAAATACTTGGACTAACACTTTACAAACCAGAATTTAGTTTTGTTTGGAATCGGAGAAATGATCCCCGGTTATAGGGGCTTTTAACAGACTACCTGCCCCTATGGGCGAGGAAATTGCTGTTTTTAACACTAATGAAGTGTTAAATTCCCTGCCTTTTCCGGGGGTTGGGGACCGGGGTTTCAATTGACTGGTGTCATGGTATTCATTATATGGTTAAAACAGTTAGTGATGGAGGTAAGACTCAAATTCTAAATGCTACTGCCTGAGGTTTTGACGAGACTGGGCTAACATTGATAAAATAATATAACCCAACAGAGTAGCCCAACCTACTGTGTGTTAGGTTAAATTATCTAGGGCTAAATAAGTGCATCATGCTAGGGCACCACTTCACTGACTACCCACCACTTTCTTAAAATTGATGTAATCTGTAGATTGATTTTAGTTTTTCTCTGAGAAATAATACTAAAAACCTGAAGGATTATAGGAAACGGTTCTGAATGACTTCAAACTATATGTCAGATAACTGTAGGATAGATTTGGAATGTCTGAATTTCACACACATCTTCTTGTAGCATAGCTTATAAAACTGAATTGAGTGAATTTGCACATGCATGCGTCTATACCTACTAGCGCCACCTATTTAACACAGCTTAATTTGTCCTAATTCTATTTACATTCATTTCATTGCCTAAGGCAATGATGGCTCTACTAGCTAAAGCTATCCAATAGTCACTATAAAGCTCAGCAGTGTCAGCCCTGGCATATAGAAGATCAGACTGATTAGTCACTTTATACAATTTTACATAAGCAATAATAATGTTCATCTCTTGCTTTCAGTGCTCCTTTCTGGATTACAAGGACTTCAAGATCATCTACAGACGATATGCTACTCTATATTTCCTAATAGGTGCCGACAAAGACGAGGTAATTAGGCAGTCATGCAAATTAACACATGCACCTTTTAGCCCTGTTCCAGAGGGTTATTGCCAAAACCTGTGCCAAACATACGATGCGTGCAGTGTCAATATTCCTGTAATTATCATATATCAAAGGATTTCTGTCAAAACATGTAGTGGGTATACAGGCACGGTTCTTTCTGTGGCCATAATTCTCGTCTTGTGTCAGAAAGTTGCTCTCAGGGCATGTAGCAGGCATGCGGTACACCGTTGATGTTTTTGTAACTGAATACACTCGAGTAGTTACCACTGGGCAGCCTGCTCCCCTGATTTTCTGCTAAATTTAAATGGCCTGAATGTTCAGCTGCAGTAGTAGTAGTACTCAATCCAGATGCCACTCTCTGTGTCACATATGCAGTGGTGGAAAAGGGCGAGGCAAGGTCGGTTCTTAGTTTTAACATAGTCTTTATATATGCATATAACTTTTTATGGATATCATCTATATTGGGTGCCGTGGTGGCAGATGGTACATGGTGTGTCATGTTTCAGTTGTGAGTTCTAAGTTTGTGAGCTCTAATTTGTATGCATTGGTGGATATTTTTAGAATGAGCTAGCAGTTTATGAATTCATACATAACTTTGTGGAGGTCCTGAACAAGTATTTCAAAAAAGTGGTGAGTATTATCTTTTTTACTTGACTACTTGACTGCAGAGTGAGTAATAAACGAGTGTCTTTATTTTCATATGCACCCCTACTATGTATTTTTAGCTACTGTAAGTTGCCTACATAATTATTTTAGCCAAGAAATGTAGAAACGTAGTTATGATAATATAACAAGCTATTAGCTGTCAACCAGTTTTAGTATAATAGAGACAAAATGAGCAAAGCATGAGCTAAACTCAGGCAGACACTTTCTATGATACAAATAATTGAATAGAATAATTTGTAAAAATGCTCACCTAATGCCATAATACACTTACGAAATATGTGTTTCTATTTCTTACAGTGTGAGCTGGATGTATCCTTTTTCGTGCAATTTTACATAAACTTGCAACCTTGCCATGAAAATAGCAAGGCAGCTTCATGAAGTTCATTATGTCCTACATTCAGATGTAGTATAGACGTTAGTAAGGGCTTGTTCTATCTATGATGTGGTAATAGTGGTCTAGCAGGTGTCACAATAAAATCTCTGATTGGGTTGTCTAATAAAATCCCACCCTGTAATCTGATAGTACTAATATATAGTCGACAAAGAACTCCATGATCCATCGTCAGTAAAGTAATCCTCGTCACTGGCAATCATCGCCAGTCAGCTTCCTTGTGGAGGCAGCACCATCTGTTGATACTTGTAGATGTAAGGTAATAGCTTGCTAGGCTAGCACGCGATGAATTCCCATAACCCAAAGCAGAAACTGGTAGCCTGGGCAACAGAGATAGTGCTGTTTCCGGACTAGAGCCAAGATTGACTCCAAACTATAGTAGTATTATAGCTACTATAGTACGAAACTATCCTGTACTATAGCGTGATCTACATATACTCTCTTACAGCCCCAAGAGCCAACGCTCGCTATAATTCTCTCCTGCGTGACTGACCACTTGCGAAGAGACAAGAGATTTCAGTTTTAAAATATTTTTCCGATTTTTTTTTCTGTAATTTTTAATTTTTTGTTTCGTTTAATTTTTCGTTCTTATTCGATTCCTTCTCACGATTTCTCTTCAATATTTAAACTCTTCAATCTTTCACCTCTGCGACATTCTGCACCGTTCCTTGACTCCGAGCGTGCGCAGGTCATGTACGGCCTGGAGCGCGTGCACCTCATCCTTGACGAGATGGTGTCCGACGGAGAAGCGATCGAGATGAATCAGAGCTTCGCTCTCGCTCCCGTCCAAGTCCTCGACGCGTTCGGACACCGCCGCTGACCGCGCTGGAGAAACGAAGCCTCGAAAAATCCCGTGAAGGTCGACCCGTGGCGTCAGCGAGTCGTCGGAGGTTCGGCAGCGTGCGGGGAGGGGTCGAGTCGCAATCGGGGGGTCTGTGCGAGGTGCCGTCTCAGATACGTAGGCAAGCGGCGACGATGCCCTCTGGCGGTCGGACGGCGCGGCGGGAGCGGAGCACGAGTCCGAAGACGAGGTACACGCGAACGAACATGGCGACGACGACGACGACGACGACGGAGACGCGACACCGCGCCGTTGCGACACGGGACAGGGACGGCGGCCGACGCCCGGCCTCCCCCGCGGACGGAGCACGGAACGCGAGGCACGCGAGGAAAGCGGACGCCGCGAGCAGCGGCAAGCGCTGGGGGGCGTCGGGGTCGGACGGGGCGACGCTGTGCGCGCTCGTGATCTTCCGCGTCGTCTCGGCGTTCGTCGTGCGCACGTCGTTCGTGCCGGACGAGTACTGGCAGTCGCTCGAGGTCGCCCACCGCGTCGCGTTCGGCTACGGGCACCTGACGTGGGAGTGGCGCGAGGCGATCCGCGGCGCCCTCTACCCAGGCGCGATCGCCGCCGTCTACCGGCTGCTCTCACTCGTCGGCGCCGACAGCCGCGCGGCGCTCGTGCTGCTGCCGCGCGTCCTGCAGGGGGCGCTGAGCGCGTACGGCGACTACCACGTGCTGGTGCTCGCACGGCGGCTGTTCGGCGACGGCGCGGGACGCTGGGCGCTCGCCGCGCACTGCGCGTCCTGGTTCGGCTTCTACGCGGCGCCGCGCACGCTCACGAACACGGCCGAGGCGGCGCTGACCGCCGTCGCCCTTGCACGCTTTCCGTGGCCCGCCGCGTGCCTCCACCGCGACGGCCGCCGCGAGGGGGCGCCGCCGCCGCCGCCGCACGAGTTTGCGTACCTGCGCGCGGCGGCGCTGGCGTGCCTCGTGCGGCCGACGGCGGCAGTGACGTGGGCGCCGCTGTGCGCGTGGCACGCGTGGTCGTCGCGCGGGCGCGTTCGCGCGATGCTGCGCGGGTTCGCGCCCGTCGCCGCGGCGGCGCTGGTCGTCGCGGCAACGACCGACCGCCTCGTCTACGGCCGCTGGACGTCGTCGCATTACAACTTCCTGCACTTCAACGTGCTGAGGGACCTCGGCGCGACGTACGGCACGCACCCGTGGCATTGGTACGTGACGCAGGGGCTCCCCGCGGTCGCGCCCGCGCACATCGTGCCCGCGTGCGTCGGCGCGGCGCGCTCCCACAACGCGCTGCCCGCGCTGCTGCTCGCCTGGCACGTCGCAGCGCTCAGCATCCCCGCGCACAAGGAGTTCCGCTTCCTGCTGCCCGTGCTGCCGCTCGTCTCCGTCTACGTCGGCCACCTGCTGGACTCGCTCGCGACGCCGGCGACCCCTGGCGGCGGCCGCCGGAAGCTCGCCGTCTCGCTGCTGCTCGGCTGGCTGATCGTTGCCGACGCGCCGCTCGCGCTCTACACGTCCGTCGTGCACCAGCAGGGGGCGCTGGCCATCATGGAGCACGTCGCGAGCGTCGCCGGCGGCCGGCAGGGGGCGCCGCCGGCGAGCGTGCTCTTCCTCATGCCGTGTCACTCGACGCCGTTCTACAGCCACGTGCACGCGAACGCGACGATGCGCTTCCTGACGTGCGAGCCGAACCTAGAGGGCGCCGCCGACTACGAGGACGAGGCGGACCGCTTCTACCGCGCGCCGCTGCTGTGGCTCGGTCGTCACGCGAGCCCGCCGCGGCCGCTGCCGACGCACGTCGTCATGTTCGACGCACTCGCGCCGAGGGTCGAGGTGTGGCTGGGCAAGTACGGGTTCGCGGAGTGCGCGCGCGTTTTTCACACGCACTTCCCCGACGGACGGGTCGGCTCGCAGATTCACATGTACTGTAGGAGGTAGAGCGATGGCTAGTGTTAGGTCGATAGAGTACGAGGAATGAGCGCGTTTTTCACACGCACTTCCCCGGTTGTCGGATTCACATGTACTGTAGGAGGGGCGCGCGTGATCCGTAGTGTGAGGAGAAATAGAGAGTTGCGGATAGAGGAAGCGTGTCGATGAAAAAGTATAGATTCGGGATATTAGCCAGGATGAAAGGAAGTGCGTCAATGAATAAGTACGGAGAGCGAGGATGAGCGTACTGTGCAGAATGAGTGGGGAGCGATCCCTAGTGTGAAGAGAAACGGTGATAGAGCAAGTGTGTCGCTGAATAAGTACGAGGAATGAGCGCATGTTTCACACACATTTCACTGATGGCCGGGTCGGCTCGCAGATTCACATTTACTTGCAGGAGGTATGAAGGTACGTGTGGTTATTTGTGCGAGGAGAAACAGTGAGTCGAGAATAGAGCAAGCGTGTTGATGAATAGTATGGGGAGTGAGTACGTGTTTCACACACATTTCACCGAAGGTTAATTGATTGAGGTTCCCATACACTGTAGGAGATAGAAGAGAATTCGAACGTGCGCTCGTTGGTGTGCGGAAGTGGAGTAAGTTTGAGATAATGGTGTGGGTCCCACAAGTGCAACTTACAGGATAGTTAGCTAGCGAATTCACACGATCCCGTAGGATGGATGAATGTGCCGCATATCATCCAAGCGGTAGCTGCTGCTAAGCCTCCCAGTCGTAGAGCTAGGAGAGCAATCAGGAAATCCGTTGTCATCAAGAGTTTTTAGGAGTTATCCCAAAGAATACGATGCAATCGACCAGGTGGTAATGAGGAATACCCACCCGCCTGAGCAGCCTGTCAGAAGCATCCCAACAGGTGGCGCCATCATTTGAGCACAAATTAAAGGTGTACACGAGAAGTAGAGAATCCAAGTGTGTGAATATTCACATCTTCATCGTAGCAATAACTGTAAATCTAAGGGGTATTAATACTGTTAAGGGCCTATGACAGTGGGACCCAGTGCGCATTTTAGGATTGCAGTCGTAAATGTTTTTCTATTACTATATGCGTAGTTCTCTGTTAGATGAAAATAGAATGATCTCGGGGTGATGAACAAGAATTTGTATTAAATTTGTAGCAGTGTTTCTTGCCTTATATTTGCAAACAATTTTTTGTACTGCATCTGTACAAGTAATGTGTATGCGTGGTTGTTTTGTTTCAATATAGTGTCACGTTTGGTGTCAACTCTTGTGTTAGTCATGGATGACAGTGTTTAGACTGCATTTCCTGATGAAAATCAAAGAATACAAACAAACAATAAGGCATCACGTTTGGTTTCGATCAGATTATTTCGCGGCATACGACACATTGTGTTGGAACACAAGGCATAAACATATCCAACAACAGAATACAGGGGAGCTGGCTGTTTGACATACCGACCGTCACTCGAATTAACCTTCGTCCGAAGTTAAATTTCTACGAATTTAAATAATATCATGAAATGTTCACTTACAATTTTCCCCTCTGCACTCATTTCATTTCGAGAGCAAGGGTATGTGTGTTTGCTGTGAACATGTGAGGCAGCTCATGAGTGAAGTCACACTCTTGAGCTGACTAGCATGGACCCTGCTAGCATGGCTTCGGTGATAGCGCAACCACCAAAACAAATTTTACCACCTCGCTGACCTTTTTGGCCAGGGGAAACACTGTATAACTATATGAAGACATTACTACATGAAGGCATGGCTCATAGCATGCACAATGGCTACGCACATGCATTGATTCCTCAGCCGTGTCTTTGCAATTTTAAGACATGGACAGACAACTGGCTCTGTTATTACATAAATCGTATGACACTCGCATCTGGCCACTGCTCCCGTAGGGATGCACATGCCTAGGCCATGCGCACCCTATTTAGACTTGAAGCTGGCATTTCATGCCTTGTCTATATTTAATAATAACAATATTTCGCGCGAAAATACCATCCATTGTCACAGTTAAGCTTGCTGAGAAAGAAATGCAGCATTGCAGTTGCATTAGATAATAGTGACTCGACAAATCGTAATAGACATTGCAATAAAATTAGGCATGAAGGGATTACTATATGAAGGCATGGCTCATAGCATGCACAATGGTGACGCACATGCATCAATTCCTCAGCAGTGTCTTCTCAATTTTAAGACGTGGACAGACAACCAGGGGCGGACTGGCACCTTGTGGGCCCTCTGGCAATACCTGTGATTGGGCCCCGGTCCACTGACCGCGGTCGGGGATCCGGACTTTGTGAAACTCAAAAGGCCTGCATTATCAGAAAGGTGGAAATCTTGGTGGAACCCTCACCCCCTATGGATTGGAAAAAGTCCAAGGATTTGGGGCACAATATTTTTCAGACCGACCGATGAAGAAAAACTGAAAAAATGACAAATTTAAATTTAAAAAAAATATTTTTTTCGAGGCCCATGGGCCTGGGCCCTTGCCCGATTTGCCCGAGGGGCCAGTCCGCCCCTGCAGACAACTGGCTCTGCTATTACATAAATCGTATGACACTCGTAATCGTGGTGTTACAGCATGTCATATTACATTTGCATCTGGCGATTGCTGCCGTAGGGATGCACATGCCTAGGCCATGCGCACCCTATTTAGACTTGAAGCTGGCGTTTCATGCCCTGTCTATAATGCAGTCTTTAGCGACACATCACGCCCATGACCGTGTGCGAGCTGTTGCTGTGATCAGGGGAGTTCAACCCAAATTATCCTGTGCCATTGCTCTCATCATTTCATACTTTAGCTGATCCTAAAAATAGAAAGAATATTGCAAATTTGCAAGGCGTTATTTTTTTTTGGCTTGTTAATTACCAAATAGACATTTTTACTGGCACTCATTGTATTCGGATTGATTTTCACAACGAAATCGCCAACGAAGCCTGTGAAATTTTGACAAAGGTTAGGATGAAAATGCCGATAAAAGACTTCGAAATCAGCAATCTAAAATACGACAAATTACCAATAGCAAACTCGATAAATAGCGCATCTTTCAAACTTCTCATACCTTCGTTGATACTGATGGTTTCACCTTGCTGAACGACAGGCTGAAGTGCTGTTTAGTGACTCTCACATTCTCAGCGCTGCTCGTGATTGCAGCCGTGGCTCCCTCTGGCTGATCACCGATGAATTCTTTCAGCGCAAACATGGATGCTTCACGAACCAGCGACGAGAGATCGGCTCCTCTGTGTGCGTGTAAAGATACGACCATTGTTTAACACGACAAGCTATACATAGGAAAATGTTTCCACGAGAAAACAATACGTATTCACTCTTTTTTCGATACATTATCTCGGTACAACATACTGAATAGATTTCGTGGGTCAACAGGTCATGTATGACTTACGTGAAGCCGTCTGCACTGGCGCCACCTGCAATCTCTTCTAGATTCACGTCATCTGCCAATGGAGGTAGTGTTCCGTTCTGGTAAATCGGCAGAAAAAAATGCCCGTCTTTTTTATTCGTCGTTAAATGTCAGGGTGTGAAATTAACGCAAGTCCGTCGTCAAATACTTCCTGATTTTCTGTCGGACTCCCTGATTTGACATATGCAGGAGTCCGTGTGACTCCCTGAAAATTCTGCTATACTAACTAGTTCGTTCCAGAGCACGGCCTCGCGGAATTGCCGTATTTTTTCAGCAAATGTCCAAAGACAATTTGGCAGACCGCAACGTTGGACTCCCCTTGTTCAAAAGTTAATTTCTATCCCTGAATGTGATTGTACCTCAATATAGTTCTCTGCTCTAGTCAATGTCGATATATGGTCATGACTTTATTCGTTTAAAATAGCAAAATTTCACAGTTTAACTTGAAGCGAGTGAATGCATAAAATGATGATTGATTTCCTCTGTCTGCATGATGCAAAAATTAATACATAAAATTCAACCACAAACCTTGGTGATGGTTTTTAAGATGTCTACCCTGTCTTCTGGCCCAGGCAATCCAACGTATAGTATTTTGTCCAGCCTACCCGGTCGTAGTATCGCGGGATCAATTATATCTGCAATATGGCAACTTCTTCATTGCTACTCATAATAAATTATAATACCTATGAATGCTACTAACAATAACATGAATAATAATATCAGTTTAAATTGAAATGGTGAAAAGCTGAGAAATTGCTTCGACCACAACTCTAAATTGTTATCATCAGGTAACGATCAGGTAATACTCCAAAATGGTCAATACTCTTGGTAATTGAGGAGCCAATATGAGGAAGATCGTACCTCAGCATGAACTTAGTCATGTTCTATTATGCTATTAACGATGTGCAATTTAAAGTGAACGTTACAAAGAAACAAAAGATTGCGCACAAGACGAGTAACCCAAGGTGTCACTGATATCGGCTCAAAATACAGATGGCAGTAAGAACTTCTTGCCAAATTCATGATGGCCGCAGATTGCAGCACCACTGCCTCTGTGCAATCTCGTGTACATGCATGTGCGTGCGTGAAATCTGGTGCGCGCGTGCATGTGTGTGCGTTTGCATGTGCAATTGTGTGCGTTTGCATGTGCAATTGTGTGCATGCGTGCACGCGTGCGTGCACGCGTGCGTGCTTGTGTGTGTATGTGTTCGTGCGTGTGCGTACGTATGTGTGTGCTCTTGTGCGCACGCGCTCACCGGGTCTGTTTGTCGCTCCCATGATGTACACTTGTTTTCTCGCTTCTAGACCGTCCATCTCCGTCAGCAGCTGGTTGACTACCCTGATGGCCGACCCCGACTGTGACAAAGCAGACGTGGCAGACGATCAATCAAGTGTCATACGACTATACGTACAAGCACGAACAGACGCCTATGCTGCAGAATATTACGACGCGACGCGGGAATTCACTACTTACGTCCGACTGGTCGGATCGGCGTGGGCACAGCGAATCCAATTCGTCGAAGAAGATGACGCAGGGGGCAGAGTTACGTGCACGCTGGAAGCACTGGCGCACGGCTCTCTCACTCTCACCTACGTACTGCACAAGCAAGAGGTGTGTGTGTGTCAGAGACGGTGTGCTGTCGCGAGTGCACAGAAGAAATTGCATTATTAACATTAACATAATTAGTTTTCAATGAGAAAAACTAATTTAATATAACATTTTGAATATAACATTCATTTTAATTTTTATAAATATGATTTAAAAATACGAATTTACAATCAAACCAATTAACGGGCAAGGATCCTAAAGAAGAGTGGGATCAAATCGCGCCCCACATATTATTTAACTGTAATGCCATATTCAGGTCGACATAAATCGACCCCATCTCAGTTAGCTCTACTAGCCGTTTCCCCGGTCAGTGGCACGGCCGTGCAGCGAATGACCGTGAAGAGTGTACATACAGCACGCGGCGGGTATAGACAGCTACGTCTCACCATGTTCAACAGCTCGGGTCCCTTCACGGAGATGAAGTTGATGCCGCTCTCGTTGGCGATGGCCTTCGCTAGCAGCGTCTTGCCGCAGCCGGGCGGGCCGATCAGCAGCACGCCCGGCGCGCTCGTCAGCCCCAGCGCCGCAAACTGCTCCGGGTGTCGCACGGGCGCCTGTGCGTGGGGGAGACGTGTTAGAACGTGCGCACGGACGTGGGTGGGGGGTCACCCGACTAGTGTTTGAGGTTAATACACGCTGCAGCGACAGCGATTAACTGTTCACTGCATGTGTTAACCTTCGAAGAGGGTATACGTGATGTAACGTTTCTCACGGAGCGGAGCACCAATGCATTCGCATCGGGGTTAGATCTCGTGTCAAGTATTTAATTTCATCGGTATTAATATGCCGTGTATTATTAACTATTAGCGATTAATCGCCCGCTGCCGGCGGTAGGATGCGGATGCTGGAGTACCAGTATCGCCATGGAGAGCTCAGCTCGGATGTCACTCAGCGCCCCCACGTCATCCCACGTCTTGTCGGGAATCGTCGCGAATCCCTCGCGCTTCGCCGATGGCTGCACCGTCTTCAACGCCACCTGCAAGTTGACAACGGTGGATCGTTACCGTCGAGCAGTGTGTTACCCTAACTGACTGTAAACGTAAGCAGGTGACGACGACCAACAAATTTATTCGTTATAGATGATAATACATCGGTAAATCCGCGGTAGTCACGGTTGTCATACGCATTATAGAGTGATAACAACATAAATGAACCATAGGGAGCTAATAATATAGTGATATTATAATAGATATAAGTGATATAAGTGATATTATATATATTAGTGATATTATATAGTAATATAGTGATATAGTGGACAATAATAAAGTCATTACTATGAAAGACAGGGGCGTGGCTATGTTATATAGGGGGTGGGGCAAAGCCACACGTGATTTGTTTTCTGCGAAGTTGACCGTGGGTAGTTCGCTATTGCTAAAGTAATAGTATCTACCTTTTTTCTGGGAAAACTACCTCTTTTGCCCTTGCCACTCTTGCTAGCTACGGCCCTGAATGATGGCTGCTCACCTTAAAATCGTCCATTGTTATGCTTATTGACTCGAGTTGCTCAGCAGTCAGTGGTGGCTGTTCCCTCAACCATTTCAGCACTGCAACGTGCATAGCATGAATCACGATCCTCTACTCACGTCGCACCGACGGTTGCAACAATACGACTACTATGACGTTACAGCGAAAGGCACCCACGACAATCATTTACGACTTAAAAAGACATGCCTAACACCACGGTATTTTCACCATTCACTCGTGATTTCCGGATAACTTCCCCACTCGCTCAACGCTCAATGATCAACACAATAAGTACCAACCTCGTTCACTCACAGATTGTTTATACCCACTCGGAAACTCATGCGGTACGTTCGCACGCGAACCGCTGCTCACCAGAACGCCCGCGACACGCGTTCGACGCTCACCCGACTGCAGTCCCGCTGACGATGCCTCCTCCATGGGCTTCACCCGCTGATCTGGCTTCACCTCCGTACGTTCAGCATCAGACAGCGTCTTCATCTCCACGTCCTCGCCGCCCTCCGCGCCTCCACGCGCGTCGGCCGTCTCCGTGGGAGCGTTCGCGTCATCACCATGGCTCTGTATGTCCGCTGCCGCGGGAGTAACTGCGTTGGCGTCTTTGCGGGGAATCGTTTCGACGGCGTGAGCGTCTTCGGCCATCTTGTCGGCCATCTTGTCGGCTCGCTCGTTGTCTCGTGCTTCGGCTTCCAGCTTTGAGAAGACCCTGTGATGCAATCGACATTAGAAAGCAGCATAAGGTTACGCGAGTGAGGTCATGTGAGTGAGGTCACATGAGTCAGGTCATGCGAGTGAGATCATGTGAGTGAGGTCACGTGAGTGAGGTCATACGAGTGACATCATGTGAGTGAGGTCACGTGAGTGACATCATGTGAGTGAGGTCACGCGAGTGAGGTCATGTGAGTGAGGTCACGTGAGTCAGGTCATACGAGTGACATCATGTGAGTGAGGTCATACGAGTGACATCATGTGAGTGAGGTCACATGAGTGAGGTCATGCGAGTGAGATCATGTGAGCGAGGTCACACGAGTGAGGTCATGCGAGTGAGATCATGTGAGCGAGGTCACACGAGTGAGGTCACGTGAGTGAGGTCACGTGAGTAAGATCGCACGACAGCTTCAACATTTTTCAAAATTAAGATTTTTGAGATTTACACTTTGATGAATGTGAACCTTTAAAGTAAAAATTTATTTTGATTAAACTTGTTGAAAGTGAAATTCAGTTCAGATTTCATTTGGTATGGTAAATGCATGCCATTTGTTTTGTCCACTAATGTTGAAGCCATGGTTAAGCTGACTTGTGTGCTCACATGGCACATGGGTACTCTCACGTTGTGATGTGTATTTCCCAGAATCAAAGACGGCGGCCACCAAACAGACACTCAGTAGGCTATACCCTAATAATACTGCCTACCTACAAACACGCATGCTCACTATCAAACACCAGTGACGGAGAACTAAGCACCTCCATTCTTCTCCAACACCACTATGCACTTGCTGTTGTGTGTCTATACACGGTAGTGCATCCGTACCAGATGTGATCGGATTGTTAACGTCACTAACAGAAGAAGGCATTAGCTCGCTGTTAGCGTGATGTGGAGCGTGAGCTAGATGTGGAGTTCTGTGATACGAAGAGTATAGACGTACCGGTCCACGGCGTGGGACGCCGCCTCGCGCGACAGCGCCATCAGGTCGGCGCCAACAAAACCCGGAGTGTTCCTTGCCAGGTGACGGAAGTCGAACTCCGCTCCCAGCCTCAGCTTCTTGCAGAGCACCTGCAGAATGCTGGAAGTGGAGTGCAGTTAGGATTAGCTTGCACCCATGCACGCTGCATTCATGCACAGCTTGGTCCCCCGGTAACCGGGCCCCTCGGCACCAGGCTGACGCCAGACCGTTGAAAAAATACATACCACCGAAGGTCAGGTTAAGAACGCCTGAAATAACATAACTTAACGTCTCGACCACTTAGATGCCACGTCGGGGAGTGATTACCCTGCCGTAATATGTCGTCCACCAGGTTGGGGAGTAATATGCCGGAAATAAGCACAGATCAGATCAGCGAGAGTGACGATCGCACATGTAAACAATGTTTGTTTATAACGGAGGAAGCGAAGGTGTCGGTCAGAGACTCGTAAACTAATCCCTGCCGGGTTTCGATTCATGGCAGACCATTGATGGTGACAGAGCATCAGATTCTGGATTACTGGTATCCATATATATATATATATATACACATACATATATATCACTGTGTCTGGTACTACGAGTGAGTATAATATTGCTGAATTTATGTTGCCAGGGTCCACGACGCGCTCGCCATTACGACGAAGTCGACCCAGCATCCGCTCGCACCCACCTAATCCTGGCATCCTCATCCGGTATTCCCATGCACACCTCGCGGTCAAACCTTCCCGCTCGTCGGAGGGCTGGGTCGAGGGAGTCCGGGCGGTTCGTTGCGCCCAGGATCAGCACCTGCACCATGCTCTTATTGTTCAGATCTGCAAGCGAGAACGAACATCTGCATTTGGAAAGAATCGAAGATTCTTCACTGTTCGAAAAAGTAGCAGGTCGTCCCTTAGTCGAGAACTGGTAACCTTTGAGCGAGACTGGCTAATCTTTACGGATTTTACTGTAGGTTTATATAGCAGAAAACAAATATGTTCTAAATCAGGACTGGCTGGAGTTTCAGGACAACTTCCCAAGGTTGACGAATATCCGCTCACCTGAGGCCCTTTGTCAGAAACAAAATTAGTCTTAACGGTGGCCTTAACATTAATTTGTTGTCGTAGACCGGACCTCTAAGCACTGCATACAAGAAACTCATAACATTACGATGGTTCTGTCAATGGTCTACAATAAAAGATTAATGTTATGACTAATGTTAAGGCTCATTTTGTATCTGACAATGGGGCCCTTGTTGCTAAGATGAATGACAAATTCCAATGTGAGAGTCTATCCCGTGGTTGTTGGATGCTCACCATCCATGCAGGCCAGCAGCTGAGAGACAATGCGACGCTCCATCTCCTTAGACGCCGTCTCTCGCTTTGGCGTTATCGCATCAATCTCATCAAGAAACAGAATGCAGGGGGCGCTGTTCTGCAGCAGAAGAAAATGCAGACAATAGCTCGGAGGCAGTGCTGCCGATGGGCCGCGAAATCGATTCGCGCGGTGAGCGTCGTAGCAACAGCGTCCAAGCGCACCATCTGCCCGCACCGTACTAAACAACGTGAAGACCTGGCCATGCGCACAGCACCAAGCAGCATTAGAATTTGGTCAAACTGGGCACAACAGTGGTCAAGGGTCAGCGAGTGAAGCTCTCCAAGCTCCACCTGTCAAATTCTGATCGGCCCAAAGTTAGACAGAAGATTATCGTTGTCGATCGAACATCCAAATCTTTCACAGAAACGACCTAATCGCGCGGAGGAGGTATGGTTTCAATGAGATATCGCGACGCGCCTCGGGCGGGCGAAGTCGCTGCACTTACAACGGCCTTCTCGAAGATTTCCCGTAGCCTCTCTTCGGATTCCCCGGACACTCCGGATACCATCTCTGTGGCAGCAACCTTGATGAAAGGCAGATCCAACTCCTGCAGTCGAAACAGCATGTTTATTTATATATCGTTGTTCATTCATTTATGCACTGAGATTTTTACGTAAAACGACTGAAACACTGACTGCCTAATCAGATTAAAGGTGGTCAGATCAAGATCCTTCAGCACAGACATGTGCACGCACGAACGCACACACATACAGGCTTATGCACTCTCACACCCACACACAACGCACGCACACACTCTCACACCCACCAACAGTGCACACACACACACACTCTCACACCCACCAACAGTGCACACACACGCACGCACGAACGCACACACTCACACGCACACGCTCACGCACATGCACACCCACATACACACACACACACGCGCGTGTACACGCTCACAGAGCTCAGCATCTGCTAGACATGTCAACGTTACCCCAGCAATGGCATGTGCCAGCAGAGTCTTGCCGCAGCCTGGCGGGCCATGTAGCAGGATGCCACGAGGTGGGGTCACGCCGAGCTGGTCAAACACCTCCGGGTGCTTCATGTGAATAAGCAGCTTGCAGACTTCCTAAGAATATTGCAAGAAAAAACATTTCCATTACAGATGACACTTAACCTCCGATTGTACCGGACGTATGCATGCGCAGGCACATGAGCACGCACATACGCACGCACCCACACACATTCACAGGCAGAGAAAACACGGAAAACGTGCACATAAACTGACATGTATTGCACTGTATTAACTGCACATCAAATGTTAGTTCATAATAATTTATCTCAGTTCAATTTATTCTGACAAGACTTTCAATCCACTTGACCTTGCAAATTTTACACACTGTATGATTATTCACACAGCTATAACTTATTACATGTTTTTTTACACATTTATCTGGCTATCTGGCAGAGGTGAGATACGATTCTATCATCTGGCGTACTTCTAACGTCTTTCCGTTTCCTCCAACATCCGCAAACACTACACTGGACTTTTGCACAATGTCCGTCGCCACCTTCTCTTTGGCTTCGTCTTCGTCGTCGGCTCTTAGCTTCCTCCTCTTCGGCTTCTTCTGTGGCTCATCTTCCTCATCAGGCTTCTTTGTGTTAGACTTCTTCTGCTGCTCACCAGACTGAGTGGTGCCCGATCCAAAGCCAAAAAAGGTATTAAATGTATTTGCTCGTACTGTGCTGCCAACTTTTTGGGATGAAATCGAACATAACTGTTCATAAAACTAGCAGTATGCATTCTGTGTCTGTCTGACAAGCTGACTGCACAAGTAAGAAGCACAAGTCTTTGGTAAAAGATCATGATAGTGTCAAAAATGGTGACCGACTCACCTGTTTCCCAAACCTGGTTTCCACGGATATCTCCTGCGTGGCTCCTCTCTGCGTCCAGTCTCCCCGCCGCCTCGTTCCAGCAGTGTCGATAAAGAAACCAGCGGATATATCTGCAAAATATTTTCCGAGTTTCCGGGAGGCCTTCTCATTGAAAAGCAATTAAGATTTCGCATGGGGCAACAGATGCTTATACTGTCAGCACCTTGTGTTGCAAAGTTTCATGACAATGTGATTTTTGTAGGCATGCTTACCAAACTGATTGAAACTCTGTACAAAAAATCTCTACAAAGGTCAATGAGATGAAACGCAACCTAATGACTGAAACCTATAATGAAAGTGTCAATGACACTTTAGCTCACCTTGGTTGTGATAGAAGAGGGAGGGGGGATATATTAAAGTAAGAGTATATATGGGAGAACTCCCATTATATAGCATATCTCCCATTATATACTCTTGATAATGATATATGCATAAGTTTTGATGCGAAAATAAATGTTTCAGATCCGAGTCTGAAATCTTGACGAGAGATATGGCGCTACGCCTTAATGATGGCCATTTTGGTTTTCGAATATCGCGCAAATAAAAACAATAAAATATTCCAGTCAAATTACTGTAACGAAGAATCTAAAACACAATATTACACGAATATAGGTATGATTGTAGAGTTGTTAACCAGTTAGACGAAATACACGTAATAGGACGTTGTCATCTCTCCCATAGGAGTAACAACTGTTTTGGGGCTAGCCTTACACATTCACATACCAAAATTTAACAAAATCGAATGAATTTAGAGGACCATTTTCATTTTTGCCAAAAAGTGGGCGTGGCTCGAAAGTAGGTCGACTGGCGTGTTCCAAAATAGGAAGTTCAAATCTCTCCCATAGGAGTAACAACTGTATTTAATTTGAAACATGTGGATCAAACGGTTCTTGAGTTATCGTTGACCGTAGGCAGACACTGAAATGCATAGTGAAATTGGCAAAATCTATTTGCATAATTTAAATAAAATATCAAAACCCGTGTGATATGTTTTGGGGCCAGTCCTTCCTTATTCATTCACATACTAGAAATGAGCAAAATCCGTTGAACCTGAACTGACTTCATTATGGCCATTTCCATTTTTGCCAAAAAGTGGACGTGGCTCGAAAGTAGGTCGACTGGCGTGCTCCAAAATAGGACGGACTGACGTTTGACGCTATGGCAATAGCTCATATTGACGATGTCAAGGCGAGCTAAAAATCGCCCCACTCAAACGATGCACCGCTTTCGATTTTGAAAGACATCCACTTGACACAATAATTTGCTGAAGAAAGTAAATCCAGTGACACGACTATTGCATGATTACCGACGTCTGAAGCCTGCCGTGCGGAGGAGGTGCTAGGACCCAACGACGACGGCTGCAGCTTCTCCTGGTATAGAGACGTGATCGACTTGTTCATCATATTCGTGTCCTGGGAAAGACGTCAAAGAAAATTACAAAGTCTTACAATGGAAAGTGATGCGAGTTCGTTTCCTTTTTCATCCCAGAATTTATATTGATGTAAGAATTCTCCATCGTAACATATTCGAAGTATAATGCTAAGTACAGATGAAATAGTAAAAATAGTGAAAACAATGTGTAAGTGCGTGCAAATGCAAGTGAAATTCTAAAAGCCACTGCCGGCTCGACTCTATTGTTTACGATATGATATTTTAAAAACACGATTATTCTCACTTCATATGTCACCAATTCTACATCTGGATCTGGAGAACCTTCTGCGTCACTCTCAGACCCTGACGTGATGTCACTGCAAGAAAGACAAATATAATACCGCATTAGTTTCAATTCACAGACATTTTTTGTAGTTTCAAGTTAGTACAGGATGCAACTTGAACTCGATAAAGCGCTTGATCATATTGCACTTATATCACAAGTTGGAGTTCATAGCATGACCTCCTGTTCATCAGTCATCGTCATTCCAACATTACCGACGTCTAGGAAAGGCAGGCGGTTCAAACAAATTCGTTCGTAAATCGATCGCTCAAAACACGCAAACTCGGCCCGTCCGAGAAGTGTGACCTTGGCTCACGTTCCTGAATATCGGGAACAGTTACTCGCAACTCGGGCGCCACCTATGCAGCGTGAATCACGAGCGGGCACAGACCTGTGATCTCTGCTCGCATTGTTGGAATGCGGCACGGAACTGGCCACGGAGCTGGCGACGCCATGAGTCTTCTCCTTCCTCTCTAAGTACTGCTTTTCGAGATGAGCGATCCCTCTATACTCTCCAGTGCTGCAGAGTAGGTCGTAGACTGAAAGCACGAATTCCAGTAATGTCATGTCTTCGTCGCACTACAAACTTTGCTGTTTCTGATAAACACAAACTCGTGTAAATATATTATATAGATTCAATATGCGTAGCAGTAGTCATACCATTTTTGACGGCCTTTTCAAAGGCATTCCGCTTCTTCCTTCTGTAATCACTGTCATAAACGAAAAGTGTTCATCACAAAGGCTTTTTTTGGTAGCATTTCATTTCAGGTGTCTATGATAACATATGGATGGGGAAGACCTAGGATTCTACTACCCACAATGTCTCACAGATATCTTGATATGTTTATTGTTAAATATAGTCTCTTACATCGTCTCGGAATTGCTCTCATGCTTACATCTTACAATCCACTTAGCACATTATTTTTGTTTTCGATTTTATAACTTTTTGCAAATTAGAAATTACTATCTATATTATTTTTACTCATCCACGCAGTGATAGTTAGATTTGATATCGTATCACTTGGAACAATTTTCAAAAATCAAAAATTAGAATAAAATCTGAACAATAACTAAGACTTCTCATAAACAAATTCATCTAAAAAAAATCATATACATGTCCCTTAGATCTCAACAACATACCTGTACATTTTTTGAAGTTCCTGTGACATCAATGTTATATCAATCATCTTTAGAGTCCTGTGGGCTTCTAAGTACTGACAAATGCAGAAAAAAGCCAATTGCAGGAGAGTTCAATAAATTGATTATCCAGATCTGCATAGGACCTGATGCTGGATATGTTCAACTTGAGTACCTTATAATATAACTCAAGTATGTTACTTTTATGTAAAAAATGTGAATGCAAGACTTTAATTAGGGTTTCATTGTATAGAGTTTCATATCAACAGCATCTTGATTCATTCTGCTTCTGCACTTGGCAACAATAGTCCAGTTACTAATTTATGCACCATGGTAGAATCAATTTACTCAAGTTTAACCTAAGCACTATAATTCTTACTCACGATCAAGATAATATGTGAAATATATAGTTGATCCCTTGTTGGTGACGTACACGTGTTAGTGCACATATTGGATCCCACATTATTAAATTAGTTTTCAATTTTTTCCAATCAAGTTTTCCCCCTGAGCACATTGGCATATACGGCTACATTACAAATGATCACTCCGGCAGAAAATCATAGACAGGAGATCTCACTGTGCCCAACGACCAAACGGTGGCTATTGATCCATCTCCGTGAGACTGACAATCATGAATGACGAATTTGGTTGCCTTTTTAAATTCACGTTTTACGTGAATGGCATGCTGGTATAGAGATGGTGTAATTTTAACAGAGTCAAAGCGTTATATATAAACGTTCTCCGTGCATGAATTAAAATTGTTGCTGAAATCATTTACTTTCTATACAATAATTTACATCAAAAAACAAGTATATCGGTGTTTATGGAGCACTGCCTCAAGTAACCGCCTTCGGCTTTTATGACAAACGGCAGTTTTAGTTGTGGAATCGCGCCGTGGTTGATTTCATAAAAAGTAATATGGACACAACCATATTTCAGTGTTTCCCCTGGCCAAAAAAGTCTGAGGTGATAAATGTTTGAGTATTTGCGCGTTTCGAGGTCCTATAGCAAAGCGAGCACAACAGGTGCTCGCCCAGCTAGGAGGGGTCCAGGGGCATGCCCCCCCTGGAAATTTTTTTGAAAAAATGGTGCGATTTGGTGCATTCTAATTTATTCTGAACACGTCACGTCAGTCGGGTGGTATTTTCGACAAATTTCTGTGTGGCGGCTGCGAATTTGAGCGAGGCGGCCCAGCTCGCTTGTGTTAATGCAAAGGAAACACCGCTATATGGCATACATACGACAGCTGAACTGGTCAGAACACTTATAAATGCGTGCGTAAACGGTACAAGACAGCGTAATTGGAGTAAAAACATGATGGCAATGTGATTTACAGATTACACTCCCAATTTAATCTGACAAGCTGGTAACTTGGTTGGCAGATTTGTAATTCTTTGTGCCCGTGAATGACCGCGAATGTTAGTAATAGTAGTAGTAAACATATGCAGTGATGCATGAATCGTCAGACTCAGTCACGGACTGTCCAGTATAACCGTAGAATACATTTTACTAGCGCTAGAACTATAGCCCTCCGCTCCGCCGCAGGCCTCGGCCGCAGGCCTAGGCCTCCGCCTAGCCTAGGCTCTCCGCCTACGTACCCGCGCCTAGCCTAGGCTCTCCGCCTACGTACCCGCGCCTAGCCTAGGCTCTCCGCCTACGTACCCGCGCCTAGCCTAGGCTCTCCGCCTACGTACCCGCGCCTAGCCTAGGCTCTCCGCCTACGTACCCGCGCCTAGCCTATGCCTAGGCCAGGCCTAGGCTCTCCGCCGCAGGCCTAGGCCTCGGCCGCCTGCGGCAGAGCGGAGGGCTATAGTTCTAGAGCTAACATTTTACAGTCTAAACGACAAAAAAATACCAAATACACGATATCATCATCATGGCCATGGGTTCACCGTTCACCTGTTTGACTCTGGGAATGAGCTTGGGGTCGGAAATGTTGTTCCGTTCACGGCATCGATTCGACTTTTTACTGCTGTGATCGGGTTTCCCTTGCTGACCGGATAGATTTTTCCGCTTCATTTTATTTCCAAATGCTGACTAAGAGATCAAAGAATGAAAGATGAACGAATTTGTCTACACAACAGTTACACGTCGGCGTTGGACATGAATGGCGCACATGCGTGTGTGGGCGTGTCATCTTTCCTGCCAATATTGTGATTGCTAGCAAATAGCGAGTTTCCTTCCATTTTACTCCCACGCCTCCCGCCGACGTCTGTAAACCATTGGTTCATTGGTTTTATTGTTAGTTCAGATTTTCTCCGTTACGTGGCGAAGTGCAGCGGTGGCTATGACGTCACCCGTGTTAGTGAACTATCGCATATATCGGAGATTTGCCAGTTCGTTCCTGAATTTTGTGGTTCATGTTTGTTCTGTGTCGTGTAGTCCAGCTGCTGCACGATCTGCTGTCTTTTAGTGTTACTCGACAGCGCTAAGGTACGTAGTATCGGTTTTATATTGTATCTAATCTAGTTATCGTATGATAGTATCATAGTATGTCCGATTCAGTGGCTATGTATTAATGTATTGTACTTAGGTTGTACGAAATTTGCCCAGCAACCTCGCTGTGTTGCCCAACCGCATTGCGACAGCACCCGATCACGCATTCATGTCACGACATGCTAGCGCTTAGCTGACACTCACTGCTTGCTCGTAATCGGTTAACATATAATGAATGATTTACTTTGTCGTTCCTTAGTATGTGCATAAGTTGACGGAATGTGGACTGTTCAAGTCTGTTCACTGTTGTGTTGGCCCTGTAGCTGTAGCGTAAAATATTAGCAATAAAGCACAATTTCAGCTGTTTTGACTACCTATAACAAGAATAGTAATTGTCATAACAATGCAGACAGGGGTGGTAACAGCTGATTTTCATGGTCGGTTTGCATTTTGTAAGAAATGGGTCTTGTCGAATTTCAGCCACATAGCATTTATAAAACTGTGCCTCGTATTAAATCACAATAATACTTCATACATGCAAGTCTCCACGTGTAGAGTGAAGCATTCCTTCTAGAAGACATTAAGAATCGGTATAAATAGTAACAGATTTATAATAGTGATAATGAAAAGGTCTTGTATAGGAAACTAGAATTACGACGAATAGCTCCCTGTAAAAATAAAGTATGGTTCACCGCAGCACTCTCTTTTACAGTATGAGTAATTAATGCAATTTCCCGTAGCGCATGTTCGTTCACAGTCTAGCTACGGTCATACGTGACGAACCTAACATTTTTTCATGTCCACGCAGGGGTTTGCTCATCCTACGGAACTCATGGCTACTCCGGAGGATAACGATCCTGGCAAAGCTCAAGGCAGCGGTCAGCAGCAGCTGTCGGACGTCGAGAAGACGGAGCGTGGCGGCCTCTGGTGGGCGCGGCGTGCGCTCTGGCCGCCGGCCGCAGACGTGCCGGACGCCGTCAGCGTCGCGAGTGACTCCGGCCACAACTCGAGTCGCAGCGAGTACGCCGACCCGGCGACGACCTGCAGCGCCATCTGGGAGATGCGCACGGGTAGCGCCCCCGCGTTAGCGGCTCGGCCGGACGCGGCGACAGCGCGGGACGGCAAGGAGAGCGACCAGCAGGTGAGCGTGCGTCGCAAGTTCTGCACGCTGTCGTTCGGGCGGCGACGCGGCATGGACAAGGGGGCGGCGGCGGCGGCGGCGACGGCCCGCGCGGACGACGGCGGCAAGAAGCGTCGCCGCTCGTGGACGCTCAAGTTCCGCAACCCGTTCCAGCTGCTGACGTCGTCGGACGCGAACACTGAGGAAGCCGTCTGCCCGGCGGCGGACAGCAGCTGCGTGTGCATGTCCTACACACGCAAGAGGGAGCAGGCGACGACGACGGCGACGGCGGCAGCGGCGCCGCCCGCGTCGATTTTGCCGGCGCCCCCTCAGGAGCGGCTCGGCACCCCGCAGGAGGCGGGTGCGGCGCGCGACGAACCTCGCTACCAGGGTGCGTACGAGGAGTGGGACTTTGACGACGACGAGCGCGCGCTGCAGCTGATGGTGGACGCACGCCGCGTCGCCGCCGCCTCCTCCACATCCGCCTCCGCGGCGCACTACCCGCGCCTACTAGGGGGCGCCGCCGGCTCGGGCGACGGCGCGGAAGTGCCGAGCGACATCGTCGTGACGTCGGAGACGCGGCGCACGGAGCTGACGACGATCAACTCGGAGGGCCGGTCGGTGCAGCGCACCGTGCACACGCAGGTCGACTACGCGCACTACCTCGTGCCCGACCTCGCGAAGATCACGAGCTGCGGCTACTACTGGGGCGTGATGGACCGCTACGAGGCCGAGCGGCTGCTGGACAGCAAGCCAGAGGGAACATTCCTGCTGCGCGACAGCGCGCAGGACGACTTCCTCTTCTCGGTGAGCTTCCGGCGCTACGGGCGCTCGCTACACGCGCGCGTCGAGCAGTACAAGCACCGCTTCAGCTTTGACTCGCACGACCCCGGCGTGTTTGCCTCGCGCACCGTCGTCGGGCTCATGGAGCACTACAAGGAGCCGAGCATGTGCATGTTCTTCGAGCCGCTGCTGACGGCGCCGCTCAACCGGCCCACGCCGTTCTCGCTGCAGCAGCACTGCCGCGCCGTCGTCGCCAGCCGCACGACGTACGACGGCATCGGCCGGCTCGAGCTGCCGCGCACGCTCAAGTCCTACCTCAAGTACTACCACTATCGTGACCAGGTGCGCATACGCCGCTACGAGAGCTAGCGTCGGCGCACGCGTGCCGTCGTCGCGGACGTGCGCCGCGATGTCGTGAGTGCATTTAATCGTCACGCAAACCTTCGATGTTGTAAATATATGTGAGTCGCGTTCGCCGAGAACGTGGCGCGGCGGACTGCTAGCCACTTGTTCGCGACGACTTTGCGACGGAACCACTACTAGAGACTTGTTCGGAGCGGAGCCGCGAACAGCCGAGATTTGTCTTTGTGTGTGTGTGTGCATTCTAGCCGTGCTTACTGTTATACATGTGCCATGTTTAACCTAATAAAGAGTGCATCTCGTCTCGTTCAGGAACATTTGTCTTACAGACCGTCTATTCTCTAGCCTGTTCCTTGCCGTAGGCACGTGAATCGGTGCCCCATGCACTGTGGTTGTTCCTCGTTGCCGATAGTTGCTGCCGGCCGCAGTCTAGCGTGTGCCGAATGCAGTGTAAGTGGTTTGGCTATGTGGTTGCGTGGCTGGAGAAAGTTGGTGTATCCTTGGGTGAGAATGTTACGTTCCTCTACTAGTGAGAATGTTACGTTCGCAGTGCAACTCGGTGCATCTAACCTATTCTTTCTGTTTGGGTCTACCATCCTGAGAATGCAGGAAAACACAGTGAGAGTGTTTGGATGAAATATGCCTTTTATATTTCCTCTTGAAAGTTTGACTCCCAGAATTCCTTCCTGGAAACTCACTGACCCTTCTACTTCCATCCTGGAAGTTTAGTGTTCATTTCTATTCTTTCCTGGAAGTCTAATTACTCCACCACAGCATGTGCCGTCGTGTACGTTTCCTCACTCACTTCAGCCAGCGCAATTGCCTTCGCTGTACACGACCCATGATGCATTTTTCTGTGTTTATACGCTTAGAGCTGTTTGCTGTTTGTGCATGCGTGCGACGTAGCGTGTGCTGTTTGCACGTACGTGGTAGCGGCGCGATGTCACATCTTGATTCGGTGGGAGTGGAGTGGTGATTGCATTACCTTGTCTGACTCTCGCCTGTGTGTGTTCAATAGTGGCTGCATCTCCAGCCGCCCACGCATTGCCGCGCGCGCTGTAGGTCCTTCGAGAAACATAAACCGCTACCATCTTTTCGCTACCGTACTGCGTTACACTCGCGACCCCCAATGCACGCTGGGAAGGTTCATGCACTCGAAGTCCCCCCTCCCACTCCTGCACCAGCCGCAGCAACAACAACTTGCGTAATGTGTATTCATTCATTCGTGCAAAATTTATAAAGATGTGAGACAAATGCGAGATGACCGTAGAAAGTAGAATAAACTCTAGCTGGAGGGCAGAGTGGCTGCGTCCCTGCGTCCCTGCTCTCTCCTTCCCCCTGCTACGAATCAAAGGGAGCTTTTTTATTCTCGAAATTCAAAACTATTTTTAAACTTAATCCGATGATTGCTTAGTGACTACTGTACATAACCTTCCAGCCCACGCGCGCTCAATCCACAGCGAATTAATTCGATGCTCGGAATAATTAGGACATCGGAGTTTTCGACTACCGCTGCCTACTAATATTGCTTGCTCATCTGTATACGAGGTGGGCGGTTATTTTCGGGACGCGGGATCGGACCATTTTAATTATCCGGGAACCGGGAAATATCCGATGAATTTTTCCGTGATTCGAGAATTTAAGACAACCGTGGTACTGAAATTGCGATTTTAATTAACTGGGAAATTGCGTATTTTTTTAACCCGGGAACTTTTTCTTCCCTCCTCATGTATATATGTAAGCTGGGAAGCATATTATGATCATTGATCAAGAGTCCATAATACAGTAGAAGATTCTAGAAGATTTCTATTGTGGACTCTTGATATGATCTAGCCGTGTGGCCCTTCCCTCCCACTACAGAGCTATATGTCTCCCTGCAGCGAAAGCGAAGTGGTACGCGGGTAGAGAGCTATGTTGATCGTATAGCCTCGTAGTGGGTATGAAGAGATACACGGGTAGAGAGAGCTATGTTGATCGTACAGCCTCGTAGTGGGTATGAAGAGATACACGGGTAGAGAGAGCTATGTTGATCGTATAGCCTCGTAGTGGGTATGAAGAGATACACGGATAGAGAGAGCTATGTTGATCGTATAGCCTCGTAGTGGGGATGAACGGTTACATAGGTAAAGTTATGTAGGTCGTATCGTTTTATGGCGAAAGCGAAGTTTCACGGTTAGAGTTATAAGCGAGGATGCAGGCAGAGCTCATGGTTGGGTTTAGCAGGGGCAAATAGCAATGAAACGCGCCAAAATAAACACCATAAACAGCTGAGCACGCGAGAAGCCGCGCGGTTATTTTATTTGGCCTGTTAATCAATATTTTCAGAGTCGGTTGTGCCGACGTCTGGCTGAAAATAGCGCAGCGGGAGCGTGAATGGCAATGGCATGGACACGGCAGCGAACGAGCGGGTTGGATGCATGGCGAGCGAGAGCACTGTACTGCTGCTAGTATGCTACTACTGCTGCTGCTGCTGCTGCTGCTACTACTACAACTACTGCTGCTACTACTGCTGCTGCTGCTGCCGGCGGTCGCGGCGGTGGCGGTGGTGCTTGTACTGCTACTACTGCTGCTGCTGCTGCTGCTGCTGCTACTACAACTACTGCTGCTACTACTGTTGCTGCTGCTGCTGCCGGCGGTCGCGGCGGTGGCGGCGGTGCTTGTACTGCTACTGCTGCTGCTACTGCTACTGCTACTACTACTACTGCTACTGCTACTGTTACTGCTACTGCTACTGCTACTGCTACTGCTACTGCTGCTGCTGCTACTGCTGCTGCTACTACTACTACTACTACTGCTGCTGCTGCTACTGCTACTGCTGCTGCTACTACAACTACTGCTGCTACTACTACTGCTGCTGCTGCTGCTGCTGCTGCTGCTACTACAACTACTGCTGCTACTACTGCTGCTGCTGCTGCTGCTGCTGCTGCCGGCGGTCGCGGCGGTGGCGATGGTGCTTGCACTGCTACTACTGCTGCATCTGGTGGTGATGCTGCTGCTGCTGCTGCTGCTGTTGCCTTTCTCTCTTTCTCTCTCTCTCTCTCTCTCTCTCTCTCTCTCTCTCTCTCTCTCCCCGCACCTCTTTGCCCCTCCTTTTCTCCTCTTCCTTGCACTTTTGCCTCTCGTATGACTCTCGCGCGTGCACGCTTTCTCTCCCACACATCCACGCACGGACATGCACGCGTTCGTCCTCTAGACCTGTGCGCCCGTACATACATCATGATGTGGCATTTACGAGCGGCTATAGGCTGCGTTTTTCTGCACAATATGCTGTTACACCCAATAATATAACGGCTAGTTTTACCACACATGCCTACTGCACTCCCTCACACACGCTACTAGCATGTGGCTGTAGGGCACAGGTTTTGTTGTGTCTGTGTGAACGTATATGCCGTGACGGTGGCCAATGTAGAACCACCGGTTGGCTGCCTGGGTGACTCCGAAAGGCAGAGAGAGGGCCGCTCTGCGGCGTTATTGTTGTACATATGCTATATATGCTATATATGCTATATATGCTATATATGCTATATATGCTATATATATTGCTATAATATATAAAGTCACACCTCATAATACGTTGACCCGGTGTGCGTTCATTCAAGCTGTTATTGCGCGAATGATATCGATTGACAGCGGTCACAGCGCGTGCATCAATGTCAGGCACCTTGTCAGTGCATATATACCGTATCCGGCTTTACAGAAGCGCTAGTTTTCATAAACGATAGCAGTAACTGGGCCGTTGCTACGGTGAAAAGGGGAGGGGGCAGTTGTCCCCCCACATTGTGTGACAAAGTAAAATAACAAGGCTCAATCCTAATATAAACGTAATAAATATATACTAGAGCAAAAAAATCATTCCCTCGGCCTAATCCTGTCTTACATGTTTTACTGCTTTTTCTGAGAGCATATTCCTCGAGGAATTTCCCCCTCCTACAAGAATATGCTCAGACCGCGGCTCCGCGCGCACGCATAGTGTTGCCACCGTGTCCTGCATGTGTCACCGACACGGCACCTACTAGCCGCGTGCGTACTTACCCGTGTACGCGACACTATGTATATATATATATATATATATATATATTATAGCCAACATTTTCCACTCTCCCCTAAATCGTATAGCTGCACTTCGCATGTCTGCGGCGTCACTCTATTAGCTCAGCCGGAGTCTCTATACGTACGTACCTCCCTCGACGCTACGCCTAACTGGCCCCCTCCCCCCACACACACGAACACCAGCTAGCCCGCACTGGCCGCTGTGTGTGTTTGGACAGCTTGTTGCCAGCCTGTTTGGGAAAGGCGATCGCTGCTCAATACACAAGAGCCGTCGGAGAGGTGATCCAATCCGCCGCCCGATTGACTCCCCGGGTCGCGGATTGAACTAGTCAGTGGCCTCCCCCCCGCTACGAGCCTCTCCAGATGGAGGGTCATCGTCTCTTTGTGTGTCGAGGCAGTCGCTCAGCCAGCGTCCATTCATCGTTGGCTGGTGGGCCACATGACCACTGGGCAAGCCGCCGTGTTGTGTTAAGGCTGGAGAGCATTACGTAAGCGCAGTCGAACCGGAGTCGACTGGAGCGTGAGAACTGGAGGGAGATATATATATACAGAGAAAAAAACGCAAATACGCGAAGTTAGTCGATTATTGAGGAAAAATGAAAAATGTTCCCGTGAATAAGGTCCATATATGTACACTTCTTTCGATGTGTGACCGTTTCTTGGTGCTGGGTAGACATATACGCTTACCTATTGTCAATTTGATAAATGGGATGATAACGATGATGACATAGTTTCTCTCTCTACACGTAGCTCGATATATATGTAGTACGGCAGAAATTATGTGTAAGGCGTGGCACCCTTGACGTTGACGACGACGACGGCGACGCTGGAAATATATAATAAATATAATTATTTATTAATAATTAATGGTATAATTTAAAATTAATTATTAATACTAAATTAAATTATATTATATAACATAAAGAACATTTTATGATGGTTTTATATCCGCACATATCTGCACATTACATTTATCGGGCGTGGAGGCCGCGTGATGGGTAACCACAATGAACAGCATTAGTAATAACGGGAATCGTAACTGGAAACCTTTCGAATTTGGCCCCTGTACCGCTGTAGACTTCGCACGCCCATATTTTGCTGCATATAAATAATTTATAATTTGTAATTTATAATTTATAATATATAATTTGCATATAATATGCCATGTGCCATGTATATATGGCATAATATGCCATGTGCCATGTGCTTAATAATATGCCATGTGCCTATAGATATGTACTGGTTATAACTATATCATAATATAC